TGCACTACAATGATTTGTCTCTTTCCAGTTCACAAAATCCCGAAGTTGTGTAATCATCGACGCGAGTTGTGCAACAGACCCCGATAGCGCTTGAACCGCTTCTCCACTGATCAACTGTCCCTGTTTAAGAGTTCTAATCCCCTCACAAGTACATGATGATTGCACGCTTGATCGCCTCGAGACAGGCGTTTTTGAGCTGTCTTCGTCTTGCCCACATATAATTTTACACAACTTTCCCACGATATCGTTTGCTCTCTTCCTATCGATACTCAGCAAGTTCTTATTCCTTCGCCAAATTATCGTTGCTTCATCTCCAGTGAATAGCTTTTTATCTCCTCCAGGCCGCGACCAAACGCCTTCCAGCTGCAGATCGTCGCTTACAAAATTCTTCAGTGATTGATAATCACCGGTCCATGCTAAGCTAAGCTTTTCACCAAATAATATCGCCATAACCTTATTCGCGTTCAAAGATTAAGCGTTCAAAGACTAACCAAGTAAATTATTGATTCATTTATAGTCTATATACTTTCTTATGAGGAGGTATGCCTGGTATTTCCCTACCAATTTTAATTAATGGAACATTTTCAACTTAATATATATATATATATATATATATATATATATATATATATATATATATATATATATATATATATATATATATATATATGAATAGGTTTTGGGAATCATGCCTGGTATATATATGAATATAATTTTTTATTTAAAAAACTTTAAAAAAGACTTCTACAGGCAATAAAAAATTTAAAAATTTGTTCCAACGTTTCGCCGGTTAAGGCTTCTTCAGGGGAATGTTTTAACTGGTCACGTCCGTTGAATATATACTAAAAGCTAGACTAAATTTAAATAAACAGATGGAATATGGGCAATAACGAGCTAAAAATGTTGTTATTCATGCGTATCATGCAAAATACAGATTAAATGTTAATTGTTCTACCAATGCATCCGTTTATTAAGTTTCCCGCTCGTTTCTTGATTTCAAAAGCCTCAATGCACTTACGCTCATCATCATTGTTTATGTTGGAATGTAGGATTCTCCAAGTTATGGTTGGCATGTCATCTTCGTTACTCCTGTGGGATTCAATGTGTTTGTATATGGTTTGCTTATTCATGGTCAAATGTTCTTTAATGCGCGTGCCGATTGTCCTACCAGTTTCACCAATATAAACTTTATTACAATGCAGGCATTCAATTTCGTATACAACGTTCTTATTGTGGCAACGATTTGGGTTTTTTTCCCGATTTGCAAGTCTCGCAATTATTAGAGCAACTCATTGTTTCTTTCCGTGGGGCAAACCTCTGTGATGACGATTTCCCGTTCAGAAAATGGATTTTAATATTATTTAGTCCCGATCGACGGACTATAGCAAGAGAGCGTCGTTTAAACTCCTCGTTAATATAGGGTAGCTTAATATAAATGCAATTCTCCTGATCGTTAATTCTCGGTTGATTGTGTAATACACGTTGAACGGAGGCTCTAACAAACGATTTGGGGTAGCCATTTCTAGCAAACACTTGGGTTAGTTTACGCAAGGATTCTTTTTTATTATTATCATCTGTTGAGCGAGAAACGGCACGGTTTATTTCGGCGATTAAAATGGCTCGTTTAGATGCGAGGGATCCGTGACTGCATGTCCCATGGAACGATGCAATTGCTGTGGATAGGTTTTATGTACAGCTGGGTGGAAAAGTTATTCGTTTCAGGGTTGAATGTAACCATAGTATCTAGAAATGGCAATTGCCCTTCGTTTGGTAATTCGATAGTAAATTTGATGGCTTCATTTATGCTATTAGCAATCGCCAGGAGTCTGTCTCCAGATATTTGTCTCGATAATATAAATGCAAAATAATCATCAATGTAACGTTTCAATATAACTAGGCCATTAGTTTTGGTGGTAATTTGGTGATCAATTTCATTCATGTATATTATTGCAAGTACGGGTGCAAGGTTGTTGCCCATGGCTAAGCCAGATTGTTGTTTAAAGCCTTTACCAGCAATTAATATACTATCACTCTCTAAGCATAAGTGAACCAGGGTTTCAAAATCAATATTACTCATGGCTTTAAGTTCGCTGTCATGCTTGTGTTTTTCGAAAAACCGTTTCGCTACAGTAAATACGCTTGGTGTTTTGTCGTTTACATCTTTGAGTGGAATAGAACCATATAAATTGCATACGTCAAGGCTACAAAAACTATGTATCGTTTCGCCCTCCATTTGGTCTAGGCAGTTAATGAAGTCCTGTGTGTTTTTTAGGTGGGCTGGTACGTGACGAAGTAGTGAGTTTAGGCATTTGGCCAAGTATTTTGACAGGGAGGTAGCGGGTGTATCAGTTGCAGCGTGGATAGGCCTCCCCTTTAGGTCGCCGTCTTTGTGATCTTTCGGTAAGCAATAAACTGGGCAAGGTAAAGGTTCGCTGCATATATGTTGTTTTAACGCGTGGTGAAATTTGGGGTCAGTGCGTGCATATCTTTTAGCCACTAGGTTAAGTTTGGTATTAAATTTAATCTGTTCAGTTCGAGGTAGGTTAAGTTGTTTCATCGTTTTATAGTTGCCAGTATCGATCGTAGATTTACGTACCATTTCTTGATAGCGAGTAGAATTTAATGCGATTAGTCGTTTAGATTTATCAGAAGGGGTTATAACGACGTCGTCTGGTGGGGATTCATAAGGTATTTTCTTAAGTCTTAATATCTTAGGACCTGATTTGGCACATTGATTAATAATACGAGACATACCTCCTTTAAATTCGTTAACGGCATCTTCTGGGGCGTTGTCACGATGTAGTCGATCTGTAGCTAGTTGTAAATTAGCTCTTGATAATAAGCAGAGTTTTAACAAGTCTTTGGGCTCGGGGTTTACGAAGGATGGGCCTTTTTGTAAGATGTTAATCAGGCCTTGATCAAATGTTTCGGTTGACAGGTTTTTAAATCCTTGAGGTCTTGATTCGGGATGTTTGCGACCATGACGGTTGATTAAATTCTGCAGTTTGCGTTGCTTGGTTTCGTGAAGTGAATTACGAAGTTTCACAATCTGCTGGTCTTCTTGGCAGTTCAACGGGAATACATGGCTTCTGATCTGTTTTAAACGGTGGTATTGCATGGCTGTCTATTGCTAGCTGCAGCCATTGTCGACTGTGCTTTAAAGCTAGTTTCTTGGCCAGAGGTGAATTGGTTGTATTTTGCAAAACGTTGGTCGCTCGTAATCCATCTGGAATTAGTCGGAGAGCTTTGCAGGTACGTAGGAACGTGATGTTGCTAAAATGGCGAATCATCTTCGTCGCGGTGCGATAATGTGAATAGGTTTTGGGAATCATGCCTGGTATATATATGAATATAATTTTTTATTTAAAAAAATTTAAAAAAGACTTCTACAGGCAATAAAAAATTTAAAAATTTGTCCCAACGTTTCGCCGGTTAAGGCTTCTTCAGGGGAATGTTTAAACTGGTCACGTCCGTTGAATACTATATACTAAAAGCTAGACTAAATTTAAGTAAACAGGTGGAATGTGGGCAATAACGAGCTAAAAATGTTGTTATTCATGCGTATCATGCAAAATACAGATTAAATGTTAATTGTTCTACCAATGCATCCGTTTATTAAGTTTCCCGCTCGTTTCTTGATTTCAAAAGCCTCAATGCACTTACGCTCATCATCATTGTTTATGTTGGACTGTAGGATTCTCCAAGTTATGGTTGGCATGTCATCTTCGTTACTCCTGTGGGATTAGTCAATGTGTTTGTATATGGTTTGCTTATTCATGGTCAAATGTTCTTTAATGCGCGTGCCAATTGTCCTACCAGTTTCACCAATATAAACTTTATTACAATGCAGGCATTCAATTTCGTATACAACGTTCTTATTGTGGCAACGATTTGGTTTTTTTCCCGATTTGCAAGTCTCGCAATTATTAGAGCAACTCATAAAGGAGGTATGCGTGTCTCGTATTATTAATCAATGTGCCAAATCAGGTCCTAAGATATTAAGACTTAAGAAAATACCTTATGAATCCCCACCAGACGACGTCGTTATAACCCCTTCTGATAAATCTAAACGACTAATCGCATTAAATTCTACTCACTATCAAGAAATGGTACGTAAATCTACGATCGATACTGGCAACTATAAAACGATGAAACAACTTAACCTGCCTCGAACTGAACAGATTAAATTTAGCCTAATACCAAACTTAACCTAGTGGCTAAAAGATATGCACGCACTGACCCCAAACTACACCACGCGTTAAAACAACATATATGCAGCGAACCTTTACCTTGCCCAGTTTATTGCTTACCGAAAGACCACAAAGACGGCGACCTAAAGGGGAGGCCTATCCACGCTGCAACTGATACACCCGCTACCTCCCTGTCAAAATACTTGGCCAAATGCCTAAACCCACTACTTCGTCACGTACCAGCCCACTTAAAAAAACACACAGGACTTCATTAACTGCCTAGACCAAATGGAGGGCGAAACGATACATAGTTTTTGTAGCCTTGACGTATGCAATTTATATGGTTCTATTCCACTCAAAGATGTAAACGACAAAACACCAAGCGTATTTACTGTAGCGAAACGGTCTTTCGAAAAACACAAGCATGACAGCGAACTTAAAGCCATGAGTAATATTGATTTTGAAACCCTGGTTCACTTATGCTTAGAGAGTGATAGTATATTAATTGACGGTAAAGGCTTTAAACAACAATCTGGCTTAGCCATGGGCAACAACCTTGCACCCGTACTTGCAATAATATACATGAATGAAATTGATCACCAAATTACCACCAAAACTAATGGCCTAGTTATATTGAAACGTTACATTGATGATTATTTTGCATTTATATTATCGAGACAAATATCTGGAGACAGACTCCTGACGATGCTAATAGCATAAATGAAGCCATCAAATTTACTATCGAATTACCAAACGAAGGGCAATTGCCATTTCTAGATACTATGGTTACATTCAACCCTGAAACGAATAACTTTTCCACCCAGCTGTACATAAAACCTATCCACAGCAATTGCATCGTTCCATGGGACAGTCACGGATCCCTCGCATCTAAACGAGCCATTTTAATCGGCGAAATAAACCGTGCCGTTTCTCGCTCAACAGATGATAATAATAAAAAAGAATCCTTGCGTAAACTAACCCAAGTGTTTGCTAGAAATGGCTACCCCAAATCGTTTGTTAGAGCCTCCGTTCAACGTGTATTACACAATCAACCGAGAATTAACGATCAGGAGAATTGCATTTATATTAAGCTACCCTATATTAACGAGGAGTTTAAACGACGCTCTCTTGCTATAGTCCGTCGATCGGGACTAAATAATATTAAAATCCATTTTCTGAACGGGAAATCGTCATCACAGAGGTTTGCCCCACGGAAAGAAACAATGAGTTGCTCTAATAATTGCGAGACTTGCAAATCGGGAAAAAAAAAACCCAAATCGTTGCCACAATAAGAACGTTGTATACGAAATTGAATGCCTGCATTGTAATAAAGTTTATATTGGTGAAACTGGTAGGACAATCGGCACGCGCATTAAAGAACATTTGACCATGAATAAGCAAACCATATACAAACACATTGAATCCCACAGGAGTAACGAAGATGACATGCCAACCATAACTTGGAGAATCCTACATTCCAACATAAACAATGATGATGAGCGTAAGTGCATTGAGGCTTTTGAAATCAAGAAACGAGCGGGAAACTTAATAAACGGATGCATTGGTAGAACAATTAACATTTAATCTGTATTTTGCATGATACGCATGAATAACAACATTTTTAGCTCGTTATTGCCCATATTCCATCTGTTTATTTAAATTTAGTCTAGCTTTTAGTATATATTCAACGGACGTGACCAGTTAAAACATTCCCCTGAAGAAGCCTTAACCGGCGAAACGTTGGGACAAATTTTTAAATTTTTATTGCCTGTAGAAGTCTTTTTTAAATTTTTTAAATAAAAAATTATATTCATATATATATACCAGGCATGATTCCCAAAACCTATAGATATATATATATATATATATATATTTATATACACTTGTTTAATACATTTTGTTGTATCTGCTGTAGTGTTGTGTATATTTGCAAACATATTCACCACCCCTAACACCCAACCCCCAAACTCCCCCCCCCTTTATTTTTTGTTATATCACCGTATTACATTTTGGTATGTAAGATGGTTCCTTTTCCGACGTACCACTAGTAACGCGAGACGAAGGGCTTTCGAAATTTGTAAAAGTTTCACATCTATTCACTAAGGTACAGTCCTTGTCGGACGTTGCAGTCCTGATGTATCGTGATCAAATAGTTTGCTTTTTGATTGTGGTGATTGGGTTATGTGATAGCCTTGAATTCAATATCTCGGGATGTGTCAAAGGCTGTAAGGATCAGGTAGTTACTATTTCGTTTAGTTGTCTTATAAATATTTTATGGTGAAAGTGAAAATAATGGATGGTCCTCTCCTGAAAACAAAGCAAACGATAATTTTCGTCGTTTTAGTTTCATTCAATGAAGGTCTCAGATTTTGCTTAAAATCAAACGTGCGCCGTCATTTCGTCATGCTTGACTCTATTGCCAAACGTCTGCTCAATTCCGAAGTAGACCAGTTGCCGCATAATGTTGCCACATCCAGACATGCCAAGTTGTTGTAAATAAAACGAGAGTCCCATTTGCAGTACAATGCATCTCAGCGCGTATTCACCCCTCCCCTTCAAAACCAAAAGCAGCATCGAAATTCTCATAAAATAACGTATTGAACGGGGAGTGGAGTGCCGTCAAAATATTGCACAAACCAAAGCAATCATACATTTACTCACCCTTAGCCAAACATATTTTTTTAAAAATTTTATTACGCCCGTAAACAATATCAAGTTATTTACATTTATTTTTCTATTGTTTTGGATAGGCTAGGAGCCTTCTAGAAACCCGATAGGCTCTTTAATTGAGACCCCTATTGGCTATACTTACATTATTTCATTCTAGTTAGTCATTATTTCATTCTATTTAACATTATCCACCTCATTACAAGAAACAAACTTAAATGTCTTCTAAAGTTTCTGTTATTCTCTCAAAGGCCATATGAGTAAAAATATTCCTTGCATTCAAGCGTTTTGGTGTAGAAAGTATCGTTTGATACGGCGAGTAGAAATATTTGTTTTCAAATTTTCAAAATATCTGTTTTTTCTTGCACGCCTATGCCATACGCTATATACAACGCAGCCGGACTACGTCAAAATTACGCGTATACAGCATTTTGGCATTTGGAATCGATGTCTTGTATTTCCAGAGTCTTCGGGATACCAAGATCGCATTGTTTTGACGTTTTAAATTGCCTTTCGGGTTGGGATTAGCTCACAGCCGAACCTGAGATGGACGGAAATACCGTGATAAAAGATGCAAATTTGAAGATACATGCTCGAAAATCATACTCCATATAGGCTAGTGCTTTTGAAAATGATTCGAACAAGGTTATTTCAAAGAAGATACGTTCTGTTCAGCGAATGGTATATGGCTAGTTGATACATTTATCAGGCAATTGCGTAATTTCATAGTGTGCAATCTCGCTTGACTTTCAAAGGCCATAAATCGCTGCAATGTCGTTAACGACTAAATCTATTGTGAGGAATTAGTTGATATCGATGCTTGTGATGTTACTCTGAGAGCATATCCACACCTTGCTGGCTTGAAAAACATGCCTGGCATGGCCACGGTGGGAATCTAACCTACGACCTTTGGAAAACTAGCCCAATGCTCTGCCAACTGAGCTACGCAGTCAGGTCGGTTCAAGTATGTGATAGTTCCTTCGATATCGATGTAATCTTGTAATCATATAATCAGTTTTTTCAAGCCTGCCAGGTATGGATATATACTCAGAGTAACATCACAAGCATCATATTTACCTGAGAACATTACACCAACACAGAAAAAAAAATCATAGTTGATATTGCTTCACTGAATCGAATAATAATATTATTGTCTTCCCCAATACCCCCCCTCTCTAAGGCCTTGAAACTACAAATCACCACCAGACATGAAGTATAACTAATCATAACTAATGATGTTATTGACGTGCATGAGGCGGAT